AAGCCAACTGTTTAGTCAAACCAAAGCTTCCCCAATACTTCTGAGACGTGCAGCCAAAACAGAGTCACCTTGGACGTTCAGTTGTGAGACATGACAAAATAAACGGTGCCAGCGTTAGATTTCGAGTATGAAAAAACAAAATAAACGGACCGTGACTGCGACGGTTAAGACGAAAAGACAAGGCTAAGACGAAAAACATGTGACAGTACAACTGTACAGGATCGTTTGAACAATGTCTAAAATTTCCGAAAGAATATTCAAATAAGTTGGGATGAATATGAATTGAATGCCCATCTTTTGAAAGATCAGCTAAACAGTTCACCACCACGATTATGGTGAATTGGCGAGTTATCAACCAAGACGACCGGACGTCTCCGGTCATGAGCTGGCTGGTTCGAATTTATCCACTTTTACAGTGATGAATATTGCGTTCGAGTTGAGTTACTAGTAATTACAAGCCTGATTTTCATTTTTCTTGTGGTGTTTTTCGTCAATGTATTAAAAATATAAGTGCGTTGGCAAATAGCATAATTATATTGCGCCAGTGAAAGAAGCTGGTGAGACTGTGTCACAACGCGTTCCATTTATTACCAACGCGCGTGGTCGGCGCCTCTGATTGCGTTTATTTTGTATTTTTATTTTCAAAATGTATCACTAGCTGCGTTTTTTTTTTTTTTTTTTTTATGTCTCGCAACTGAACGTCCAAGCTGACCTTGTTTTGGCTAACGCAGTGAAAGCACAGGGAGCCCAGGAACTATGATCAACTGTACGCACTCCCTATGAGCGGGGGGGGGGGGGTGTTATCGGCTAGTATCTAGTGTAAGAAATAGACAAGGGATGAAGGCTCCAGCCAGCTCACATTTTTTAAACTCGAAAAAACAGACGAAAAGAATGAAAAATTAAATATAAAAAAAATACCAGGTTGAAGAATATTGCCATATGCACATACGTGGTTAAGGGTTCTTTCACTTTCTAGGAATAATGACATCACGCCACACGAATTCATCGGAACTAGTATGTCACCGCGGATCGTCGGAACTAAAACGTCATCATCGTTCGTTTATCTGTCTTTCGTAGCTTCAATTTATATCGAGCATCGTCATAATTAATTAAATCGAAAGTGAAAGTTACGCTATACTAAACGCAGGTAAACTAAACGTGCACAGTTCAAACAATGTCTCTCAACTTCAACTGTTTCGCCGCCAGCGCAGCTTATATACCGTGAAATTGAATAATATATTGAAGATAATATTTGGTAATCGTAGTCCTAAATAACTATTAAAAATAGCTAGACGTTTCGAGCAATGGCTCTTTATCGATAGCATAGAAGCAAGAAATTGAATACATCGACACCACCATCTTAAAATACGTACTTGTGATTTCAAAGTGAAAGTTACGCTATACTAAACGCAGGTAAACTAAACGTCCTTGCACCAGGGAGGTACACAGAAACATGTTTATTACCCGAGTACGCACCATGCACATCCTTGTGCCTCTGTGTTGTAATGTGACTTTGGTTATACATAATATCAAAGACAATTAAAGGGAGGCGGTCGTCCCACCGCGTCCTGTTCGATATGGGACTCGTGCGACGTGCACCACGCGTGTAAAATACATTGTTGTTTACATGATACGCTTTCGCAGCGCACTTTACTGAGGAAAACAGATCTGTCTGAGATAGAAGTGTACACTGACGTCCATGCATAGTGTATATAAATATACTGTATAATACATGACGGAGACAATCCAGCTCTATGATCTCAAAACAAAAACAAGTATAGCAGACATGTTACTGTACCTCATTTTGTCCGCCATTCTGAAGACTCCCTTTCCATTCCCTGTACCGATACCGTAGCTACACGACACTCCCATTGATTATTGTTGGCTTCCGTCCAATAAACCAGTAGAGTTGTGTGCCATAGCATTCTGTCTGTCTAACTGATTAGCTGCGTGTAGCTTGGTTTCTATTGCCCAACATGCGACCCTTGACCTGC